TTTTTTTTTATTTTTTTTTTTTTTTTTTTTTTTGGTATATTTTATCACTTCTAATAAATGCATATTTTAAAAATATATGAGTACTTATAAACATTTATATTTGCATCTTTCGGTGTAATATGATAATTGTTAGAGAAAAAAAGTATATTATATTTTTCTTAAACAATTATAAAAAAAAAAAAACTTTTATGTTTTTATATTTTTAAAAATACACTATAAATTGAAGAAAAAATTAGAGATACTTAAAAAAGTGAATCTTTTAATTTAGATCTCTATTCATTTTTTTTTTAACAAAATTCATTTTATTTTAATATATACTTTTTTTAATAAAGCGTATGTATATTACCGTATTCAATATTTTTGTTCTTAAAAAAATAATAATAAAAATTATAAAATAATTTTAAATGGTATTGTAATATTTTAAATAAAAAAATGATAATTATTTTGCATGCATTTATTTTGTTTAGACCAAAACATTTTATGCTTTAGTTTCATATGGGACTTTTTTTTTTTTTAATTGGAAAATACCATAAAAGTTAAAAAATAAATAGTTAAGTATATCATAAATAAATGTTAATACTTAGTATTATAAATTGTTAATATATTGAAAAGGTTCATTTTTAGAAATATGTAAAAAAAAAAAAAAAAAAAAATTATTATCATAGGAAGAATAATCTTTTATTAAATATTATTCTTATATTTTATCTATTTTACTATTATTTATTAGTGAGACAATAAAGCAAAGTGTGCTTTTTGAAAATTGATATATTAAAAGAGTGTGCTTAATAAAGGGTATAATAAAATTTTCATTTTTTACTTTTTCATAAAAATAAAATATTAGAAAAATGCACCTCTTGCATAATAAGAATATTTTTTTTTTTTTTTTTCAAGAATTATATTTACATCCATTTTACAGAATTTAATGATACAATTTTTTTTATATGTTAAAATGTGAACTTAAAATTTTTGAATTTACTTTTATAAATGCTATTACTTTATGTTTTCATTAAAAAAAAAAAAATAATATAAATTAATATTCTATATGTTTACAAAAAATTTTCAACATCCTGATAGGAGGAAAGAAAAAAAAAAACACTTTATTTAATCCTTTTTAAACTTAAATTTTTTTTTATTTTCGATTTTATTTTATTTGTAATAATTGAAAGAGGGTTATGTGTAAAAATAATTATTTTTTTATTTGAATGAAATAATAATTATTTCTATATATAATTCTAAATTATTTTTATAGAATTAGTTATAATAATCATATATATTTATTTCTTATATTAGTATTTATATCAACAATATTATATAATAAATATTTACAATATAAAATTAAAAATTACATTGAATTTGTAGCAATGAAAAAGAAAAAAAGAAAAACTACATATATAAATAAAAATATTAATTATATTGGTAAACATATTAATAGTTTGTTCATTTCTATTTTCATATAGACATAATCTAATTAATTATTGTACTATATATATATATTTTTTCATATAATAAATATATATATATATATATATATATATATATTTTTTTTTTTTGCATGATGTAAAAAAATACAAATAATTACATACTACATAATTTATATTATTATATAAAAATTATTAACTTATTCATATAAATATATCTCCATCTTACTTTTTTTTTTTTGTTTGAATAAATATATATATCTATAATTTAGAGTAAAAAAATATTTTAAAATTTATTTTTTTGATTAACGTTGTTTTTTATAAACACTAATGAATTATTTCTTTGTAGCTTAATTATTTGCATTTTTTTTTTTTTTTTTTTTTTATTTTATCTTTTTTATTATATATTTTTGCCCATATTTATTTATATCTATATTATACCTTTTTTATGAGTATCTAAGAAAAGAAGTATACAACCTTACTATATTTTTTTATAACATATAGGAATATTTAATGAAACATATTTTTTATCATCAAAGATTTGTTTTTATAATTTTTTTTTTTTTTTTTTTATTAGCTCCATTAATCATTTCTTTTTTAAATAAATTTTTATTAATGTAATTTGTTAAGTAATTTTTTCTAAAAGATAGTGCATACAATCTTATAATATAAAAAATAAGTTATTAAGTGAAATTAAAAATAATTCTATTACCTTTTTGAAAATTTTTAATAATTATTCCATTGAATATAACATATAAGAACTGATTCATTTCAGTACTAAAATTATGGTATTTTTTTTTTTTCTAATTTTTTAATAAATATTTCTTTTTATATTTAAAATTTTAGTAAATTATATAAATATTCATTATTTTTTTAAAAAAAAATTCTTTAAAGAAAAGAATTTCTAATTTTACATAAAAAAATCCTATATATTTTAATTATTCTTATATATCATAAATAAATTGTCTAGAGTATTACACCTGAGTTTTATGCATGCAAACGAAAAAGGTGCATATTGAATTATCAAAATAATTATTAAAAACAAAATACATATATTAGTAATTGAAGAGAAATTATAAATTACCTTTTTTTCTAAAATTATATATGATTAATATTTTTATTTACTATTTTATTCTATGTAATAATAAAACAGAATTAATAAATTAAAAAACGATATATACATATATATATATATATATATATATATGTATATTGAAAATATAAAAAACATTTACACTTTGTACTATTATTCTTTTTATTATTTTATATAAATATAGAAATAATAATAATTCAATTTACATTTTGTTTATTTTCACACAAGTTTAACTCTTTTTCATATTTTTATTGTAAATTTTTTTAAGATAAAAAAATTTCATTTGTATAAAAAAAGTTACAATTTTATTTTATTATTTATACGATTATATGTACATTTATACTACTAGTAATTTTCTTCTGTTGCATTTATTAAATTATATATATATATATGCTTATTTTTATGTTAATTAAAATGATTAATCATGAGATAATTAAAAATTAAAAATATTTGTAATATTATTAATTAATATATATACATATTTATTTATTTTATTTTTTTTTTTTATAAATGTAGAATCTATATTTTTCTTCATAATCTACTCTAATTTTTTTTTTTTTTTTTTGTTTATATTTTATCAACACTCATATGACAACCTATTATATTGAAACCGATGATATTTGTTTTATTATTTATCTATATTATTTTAGACCATAAAAAATATTTTTTTGTGTTTTATAAAAAATATTATGTTTACGCATATTAATAACTTTCCTTTTAATAAATAAATTATATAATTTGTAATCTAAATGAATATATATTAAGTTTTGTGTTTTTCTTTTTTTTTTTTTTTTTTCTTAATAATTAAAAATATATATAATATATTTTAACAAAAAAGAATTCATATAAATTTAAAACGTAATTTTTTTAATTTTTTTAATTGATGTATAAATAGATATGATTTTTTTGTTTATGCAATTAATAAGTTTAGTAATTAAAAAAAAAAAAAGTAAAACATAATTATGAAATTTTTGATTAAAAGAAGAAAAAAAAAAAAAAATACATTTATCAATGAAAATAAATATTACCAAAACAAATTGTCTAAAGAAGAAAGTTTTTTTACTAAATAACATTTAAGTGAATTTAAAAAAAAAAAAATTTAAGTCAAAGAATTAATAAACTTCGTGCATATATAAAAGATAACATAGTATATATTAATTTCAATAAATTAAAAACAATAATTAATAATTTAAAATTAAATGCCTCTATTGTTTTAGAAAAGAAAATGAATTTTTCTAATGAAGGTAATAATATTAAAGATAGTAATAACTCAAAATTAAGAAATAACATTGAAAATAATTTTATTTTTAAAACAATGGGTTACAATAACACTAGTGATAATAACGAGAAAGATAGCATGCTAAATGAAAAAAAGGGGATAAACGACCTAAATTTCAATATAAAAATGGATAACCTTAAAACTTCTAATAAGAAAAATGTTTTTTTACATAATTCAGATCATTTTAACAATTACAAAAAATTTTCTGGTGATTTTAAAAATAGTAAAAATATATACTTGGATGTTCCTTATACTGATTTAAACGAAAATATAAAAGATACGTATTACACTCATGATAATATTAAAAATAATGAATTAGATACTGTAAAAAATTTTAAAGAAAAACATAATAATAATAATAATAATAATAATAATAATAATAATAATAATAATAATAATAATAATAATAATAATATAAATTATAAAAACAATGAAAAAAAAACAAACAATAAAAACAATGATAATAACTTAAATGATATAAATATTTTTATAGATTATAAAAAAAATATTAATAAAATGAATGACAATTCAAAGGAAGAAAATTGTAATAGTATTAAATTAAATAGTGAAAAAGATTATGAAAATGAATTAAAAAATTTACCCAATGATTTAATTAATCAAAATATTTCTATATCTTATATTAAAAATAATAAATATCAATGCAATAAAATAAATAGTGTTAATAATAAAAATAAATTAAATAATAATAGTAATGAAGATTCATCAGATCAAATAATAGAAAAGAAAAATAATTCTTATGAATTTGAATTAATGAATGATAAAATTAATAATAACTATATAGAAATGGAAAATAAAAAAAATGAATACTTTCGTAAAGAAATAGATTTAATAAATCATAAAAATAAAGAAGGAATTTTAAAAAAAGAAACAAATTCAAATAAAATAAAAGTTTTACAGGAAGAAAATAATTATGAAAAGATAAGTAATCATGAAAAAGAATATAATACTAAAGAAAAAAACAACACACAAAATATAAATAACATAGAAAAAATAAAAAGCTCAAAAGACTTAAAAAAAAAAAATTATAAAATTTCAAATGAAAATATAATCCAATATAATGCATATAATAATGTAAATGAAGAAAATTTTGAAAAGAAAAATCTTAATATAAGTAACTATGAAAAAAATAATTTTTATCATTTAAATACAAAATTAGAAATTGAAAATAATATGAAGAATAAAAAAATTATCTTAAATGATATTAGCAATATGGAAGTATTAAAAAAAAAAGACAATTTATTTGTATCTTCTTACAGTGAAATTAATAGAAGTAGTAATATTAATGATAGTGGTGATATAAATAATTATAACAACAACAATAATAATAGTAGTAGTGATAGTAATATTAATGATCATTATATAAATAAAAATAATGAGGAAGTTTATGATAGATGTGATGATAATAACAAAAATAATAATGATAAAAGTATTAACAAAATGAAGAAAAATTCAGATTTATTATATGATGCAATAAATGTTATGACAAAAAATGATATTAATTCATCAAATAGTATCATTATTAAAGAAAAGGATCAAAATGAAAAAGAAAAAGTTGAAGTGAAAAAAAATGATGAAACAAGTGAATACAATGAACATTTAAAGGGGTATTTTAATGGTGATAATCATTTAGCTAATGAAGAAATTTTCGCAAATCAAAATATAATTAATTTAAATACTGAAAAACTAATGGAGATAAAAAATGGGGTATCAATAGAAAAAAATATATATATGAACAAAAATTTTAATAACATTTTCGACGAGAGAAAAGGATTAGAAGAATTTAATTTTATTGAGAAAAAAAATATGAATAATTTTTTACAATTGAAAAATTTAGGAATTAATACTAATAACAAAAATTATGATGGAACAACAATATTATCAAAGGAAAAGATAAATAAAAATAAGTTAAATTATAATAAAAGGAATGACAAATTATTAGAGAATTTAAATATTGGTATTCCTACTATTAACTGCAAAAGTCCTTTAAATGAAAAATGCAATTTAAACAATTTCTGTGGTGACAATTTCATTGAATCATTAAAATTATCAGAAACAAATAAAGCTATTAAAAATATAGAACAAGAAAAATTATTACAATATTCTGAAATAATAAATTTAGAAAATAATAATATTTTATCTAAAAATGAGAATACGTATGAATTAAATCGCAAAAACTCCTTAGAAGAAATAACAAATAATGAGCTAAACGAATTATCTGACAAAGTAAAATTATCTTTAAGTGAAACTAACATTTTATGTGATGAAATAAAAATTTTAAGTTGTATTGGTAATGAAAAAAACTCTTTATTAATTAGAGATAAAATAAAATCAAATGAAAGAAATTCTACAAATAGAAAAAAAAGAATAAATAATTTAGAGAAAATTTCAAATTATGATATAACAGAAATGAATGAAGAAATCACAAAAAGAAAATTATCAAATAAAAAAGATATCAATAATATAGAAAAAAGTGTTGAAAAAATTCTAAAAAACAGAGATATATATAAGAAAGAAGAAAGAAAAATGGATAAAAAAGAAAAATCGGATTATAATGAAAAAAAAGGAAAAATTGAAAAAGTAGAAATAGTGGGTAAAGAAGAAAACAATATCAAAAAATTAAATATTAGCATAGAAAAGTTTTCTGGTTTAACGGATTTAAAAAAAAAAAAAAATGAAAAAAGTTTAATTGAAAATTCAAAAGAAAGGACAAAAAAAGAAAGGAAAAATAGAAGCAAAAATAAAATTGCAAGCATAGAATTTTTAAAAGAAAATAATGAAAGAACTATATGTAGTAAACAAAATTTTAAAGAGAATGTATTTGAAAATTGCATTATTAAGAACAACAATCAATATGAAACTAATAACTTGGATAATGAAATTGATAGTATATATAAATCAAGTAAAAATGATTATTTTTTAAGGGAAGAATTAAATACAAATTTATTTAATCCTCACATTTTAGGTAAAGAAATAGATAGTGTTTTTAAAGGAGATAACAAAGTAGTTAAAAACAACAATTTTCTTATAAATAAAGATAGTATAGATATCAATAGATGTAAAGAAAATTATTTAAATGTAAGTATAGAAAATGAAAAAAATAATATGCCAACTTATTGTGAATTTAATAATAATTTTTTAAAGAATATTGTAGAAAGTAATAATAAAAATATATATTTAAATGAAAGAAATATGTCTGTATGTAAAATAGATAATAACTTTACAGAGGTTAACAAAGAATTAATAAACTCAAATTACATGAATTTAAATAACTCTAATGAAATATATTCTGTTAATTACAATAAAAATAAGAAGAGAAGTGGAATACCACTAAATGAAAGAAAATATTATAGGATATTAGCAAAACAAATGGAGAAAATACAAGGACTAACTTTTGATCATAATCAAATAAGATGGATCGCTTATTGGAAGAATGAAAATAATAAACAAATTCAAAAACATTTTCCTGTGTGTAAATATGGCTTTTATAAGGCTAGACAACTAGCTTTAGAATTTCGTAATTCAAAAATAAATAATAAAGAATATAATATTATCAAAAAAAATAATGAATTTCCTAATAATTTAATTAGTAATAATAATGAAACAAAAAGAAAAAAACGTAATACTTCCAATAAAAATTCTGTGAATTGTAGTATAAATGAAAACATCAGTAATAAGAATAATAATAATACTTATATAAAAAAGAATTATGAAAATAATAATGATAGGATTAATATTAAAAATAATATAAAAGAAAAAAATATAGATTATTACCTTAGTAAAAATAATATGAAAATAAACAATTATGAAATGACATTTGGAACAAATAATAATAATAATAATAATAATAAAGAAAATTACAAAGACAAAAATATGGAATTTAGAAAGATAGACAAAAAGATTAATGCTGATATAGATTTATTAAAGAATTCAAATTATAGAGAAGAATTGAATAATAATAATTTTTATGATCATAAACTTTTTATACAAAATTCACCTAAAAATGAAAAAATACTTAATTTAAATCACATAAATAATTTAAAATATGAAAAAAAAATATTTAATAATATAGAACAATCTAAAAATCAGGATAATATTTCTTGTTTTAAAAACACCTGTAACTCAATTAATAATAAAAAATCTCTAGGTTTTATTAATAATCAGATGAATAATAATTTTTATGAGGTATATAATATGAATAACATTTATAATGACGAAAATTCTAATAATTATATAGAATATAATGATGAAAATAAATTTGACTATTTAAAAAGTTACAACATTAGAAAAATGAATTTAAACACTATTATTAATAATTTAAATAATATGTATGAAAACAATCTAGGTAATTCAGCACTTTATTATAATGATGACAATAAATCAGATATAAATAAATTTAATAAAATAATGAAAAGTAAAAATTTATCTGATAATATTTCCACATACAATTTAAATAACTTTCAAAATAAAAAGGAAGATTATGATTTAAATATTCTAATTAAAATGACAGACAACACTAATAATGCAAATAATTTGAAATATGATAATTATTCAAATAATATTAATCAATTATATGGAATAAACATTTTGAATGATTCAAATAGTGCAACACAATTAGATATCATTAATAATGTAAATATGCCAAACATACATAATTCTATGAATAATTATAATTTTAATTACTTGAACTATTTAAATAACATGAATATAAAAAATGATATTAATCATATAAATGCTATAAAAGATAATAACAGTGAATTTCATAATATAACAAAATTATATCAAACTAATTTAAAAAATATCTCAAATAAGGATTGGAATATAAAAAATGAAGCTTATCATTATTATATTCAGGAGAAATTAAAAAATAATAATTGCTTAAATGGGAAAGAAGAAATAATAATTAAAGGCAATGAAGAAAATACAGTAAATAACAAATTAAGAAGTATATATGAGAATTCTTATTTTTTGAATAAAAATAACATGGATAATGTTATTTTAAAAAATGTTAATTTGGCAAATAAAAGAGTGAAAAACAATGCAATACTTAATATAGATAATGTAAATAACATTTTTATGATATCAAATAATGATGATATGTTGTATAATAATGAAAATATAAAATTAAATTTATATAAAAATGAAAGAGGAGAAAAAGATATATATGCTTTAACTAGAGCTTCCACAGCTTCTCACTTTTCTGAGCATTTAAATAGTATAGTAAAAATGAAAAAAAATATTAATTTTGAAAATAATAAAATAAATAGTTATTTAAATAATGGGGAATTTTCAACAAAAGAAAAAACTAATTTAGAAGAAGTTTATGAAGAGGAAAATATGAATAATAAAGATATCAAAAATCAAAACACAAGAAAAGGAAAAATATTAGGTAAAAAAAAAATTGATTCAAGTGAAAAATACAAAAATATTTCTAATGAAATAAAAAATATATTAACTAATGAAAAAGAAAAAAAAGAAAGAAAAAGTGGAAAATTAAAAATAAATCATTTATATAATAAAAATAATGTAGATGGTTCTATTTCTATTAAAAACAAAGAAAAAGCTACTAAAAGTTTTAGCAATATATTTTCAAATTGCAGTAGTAATATTACAGTAGAAAATGATATAAATGTAGTAAATAATAATCCTTATAATGATGATAATCATTATAACTGTAATAACATGTATAATTCAATTAACATTAATAATTTTGATTATAAATGTAATAATAATAGAAATAGTAATAAAGAAGTATCCTATAAAAAAAAATTAAACATACTAGATACTACATATAACATAAATGAAAGAGATGATAATAAAATAGTAAATGAAGAATTTAAGTTATACAATTCTAAAAATACAAACATTTTAAAAAATACTAATGACAATGATGAGCTAAATACAAGCATAGATAAAAGAGGAAGTAATGATATGCATTATTTAAAAAAAAAAAAGAATGGAAAAAGAAATAAAAGAAAATATATAATTAATATTTTTACGAATGAGAACAAAAATACTAATTTAAAAAGTGGGATAGAAAAAAAATTAAAAAAAGATAATAACAATTGTAATACTGTTGAAAACGATAATCCAAGCTCAATAAATAGTAAAAATAATGATTTAATATTATTAAATAAAGAAAATACTAATAATAGTGATTTAAATAGAAAATCTAAAAATGAAAAAAAATTAAAAAAATTTATTAACAAACAATCAAAATTTGGGAAACATTCTAATAAATTAAATCATTTTAAAAAAAATTCTAATGAAGAAAATATAAATTATTATAATGAAATAATGAAAATGCCTAAAATGAAAGGTGTGCATTTTGATATTAGACAAAAAAGATGGTGTGCATATGGATATAAAAAAAAAGAATGCTTTTCTGTATATAGATATGGTTTTTTAATAGCTAGAGAATTAGCAGTTAAAAGTAGATTAAAAGTACAAAAAAGAAAAAATAATTTAAAATTAAAAAAAAGTAAAAATGAGATAGATATAGAAAATAAAAAAAATAATATATCAATTAAAAAATATACAAAAAGAATAAATAACAAATGTCAGAATAAAAATGATGATAAATGCAATAATAAATTTGATAATAATGATAATAACAACACAAAAATTGGGGAAAATTATGCATGTGAAATTATTAAATATGAAAACCATATGGATAATAATATACTTATAAAAAATGAAAATAATAAAGGAAGTGAAGTTGATTTAAATTTTTATAAAAATGAAGTAAATAATTTAAATGAAAAAATTAATAATATATATAATTCAAATAATTGTGATAATGTTAATAATTTAAATGATAAGAATTGTTTTAACTATATAAATGAATCAATTAATACAAATGCCTTTATAGATACAGATAATTTTAGTGGTGGAAATAATTTTGATAATAGAAAAAATTACTATGATATAAATAATTTTACTAATATAAATAATTTTAATAATATAAATAATTTTAGAAACTTAAATACCTTTAATAATACATACAATATAAGTCAAGCTAACAATTTGAATGATATGAATAATTTTAATAACATAAATTACTTAAATAAAGTGAGTAATTTTCACGATTCTAACAACATTAATGTAGCAAATATTTTTACTAATATAGATAATTTTAATGATGCACATAATCTTGTAAATAATAATTTAATTGACAAAAATAAATCAATTAACACAAATAATATTATCAATTTAGACAATTTTGACAATAATATTGTAAAAAGGGATTATGAAGAACCTTATTTGTCTAATAAAAAAGTAAATTTAAATGATTTACCACCGTTAAATAAATATACTAAAGAGAATAGAATATTATATTTAAGAAAAAAATGTATAATTGATAATAGAAATAATGATAAATTAAATAGTTTCAAAAGTGAAGTAATTAATACAGAAATTTACTATAATGTTCATGATAAAGAACAAAAAAAAAATAATTCTAAAAATTTTATTATTGAATCTAATCTTTTTCCTAATGATGATAGTGTAACCAAATTTTCAAAAAATAATAAAAGTGATTTGAAAAAAAATACGTGTGAAAATAATGATATAAATGTTCATAACAAATTCGTTTATAATAAAAATGAAAAAAGTTGTTCTTCGAGTAGCTTAAATATTATAACTAATAAAAATATTAAAAAAGAAAATATAATTTGTAAAATTGAAGAGGAAAACCTGATTGCAGACTATAATTTTAATTTGTCTTTTAATATTAGAGAGAAAATTAAAAATATACATGATGGTAATAATAATGATAATAATGGTAATAATAATGATAATAATGGTAATAATAATGATAATGATAATAATAATAATAATGATAATGATAATAATAATAATAATGATAATGATAATGACAATAATAATAATGATAATGATAATAATAATGATAATAATGATAATAATGATAATAATGATAATAATAATAATAATGATAATAATGATAATAATAATAATGGTAATAATAATAATGGTAATAATAATGATAATAATAATAATAATAATAATGATAATGATAATAATAATAATAATGATAATGATAATAATAATAATAATGATAATAATGATAATAATGATAATAATGATAATAATAATAATAATGATAATAATGATAATAATAATAATGGTAATAATAATAATGGTAATAATAATAATAATAATAATAATAATAATAATGATAATGATAATGATAATGATAATGATAATGATAATAATAATGATAATAATAATGATAATAATAATGATAATGAAAATGAAAATGATAATGAAAATGAAAATGATAACAAAAATAATGATAATAATAACAAAAATAATAGTAATAATAATAGTAATAATAATAATAATAATATATTAAATGAGAAATACTTTTACAATCTAGAAAACGAGGGAATACATATGGTTGACAATTCAAATATAAGTGATTTATCATACATGAGTAATATTCACAAAATAGATATGCTAAGCATAAATGAATTATTTGATATAAATAAGATATCTCAATTAAATAATAAATATACATTTAATTATTATAATAAAAATAGAATTATGCAAAATGAAGAGGATATCAATGAAAATTATTTAATTAATTATGAAAAGAATGAAAAAGAATTATATGAAGGATATCTAGGGATAAAAGAAAATACTTTTATTGGTAATAAGAATTATAATAATAATATAAATAGAAAACTGGTTAATAAAAAAAGTTTCTCTAAAAAAGATGTACACTACTCTTTTATTAATAAAAAAGAAAATAAAAACTTATATAATTCTGTGAAAATAAAGGAAAACTCAGAGATGATAGAACAAAAACATATAAATTTAAAGAATTGCGATAATTATTCTTTTATTCAAAAGGTCTATTTGAATCCCAATAATTTTTTTTTTGAAAATAAAGAGGAAACATATGATAAAAATAATAAAGAGAATTTTATTAATTCTTTTTTAAATGATAAATATTGTCATGTTAATTCATTTGAATACGATAAGAAAATTAAGTTAGAAAATTTTAATAACAGTAAAAAAGATTTTTCTTACAATAATTATGATAATTATGAATTAAAGGTAGATAGAGATAATACAAATGATGAAAATTTTTTAAACAATGAAAATATAGAACTATCATTTAGAAATTCACAGAAATATTTTAATGAAGTCAATATCATTCCCAAAAATATGAAAAATAATACGAAAGAAGAATTTCTAAATGAATGTTTATCTGATAATGTATTTCTATTAAGGAAAGATTATGAAAATAAAATGGGTAGTAAAATAAATAATTTAAGTAATTTAAAAATAAATAACTATTCTTCTTATACAAATGGTAATAAACAAGTTATCAATAACTTTCCATTTGAAAATTTTGAAGAATTAAATGAAAATAATAATTATGTAAATAACTCTAATTGTCATTCACTAAATAGAGAATACAAAAATGATAACAAGAGAAACGTAAGATTTAACAAAAACAAACCACGTGAAAAAAATGATAATAATTTTAGAGGTATTAGAAATGATGAAAAAAAAGATGACATCGAAGAAATTGAAAATTTATGTAATCAGAACATTAACGAATATAAAATAAACGAAAAGAGTGATACTTTTAATAAAAACAGTAATACTATTATAATTAATAACGGGTTAAGTAAATCTTATATGGATTTTAATGAAAATGAGAATATATTAAATCACAATGGAATAGATCAAGTAAAATTAAATTGTTACAATTATGAAGAAATAGAAAACGATATAAATTATACATATAGTAACGAAAAATTTAAAATAAAATCTCATAATGATAACTTGAATGATAAAGATGAATTTGAAAATATTCTTAAGGTAAAACATATAGGTTCCCTTTCTAGTGATGTAAAAAGTAATAAAGAAAATGTTTTAAGTTATAATAATTTTAATACATATAATTATGAATATATAAATAACAACAAAAATAATTTAATTTATAAAAATAGTTATATAGATGAAAAAGAAAATTTTATAAATGACAATAAGTTTTTAAATAACTTAAATGATAAGAACACTAATAATTATGAACTAGTTAATTTGCAAAATAATCATTGTTCTTATAAAAATGAATATTGCAACGAAGGATATTTTTCATCCCTATATTTAAATAATTATAATAATTATGAAAAAAATAATAATTTAGTAGATAATACTCATTTTTCATTTTTAGAATATAAAATCTATAATCCTAATGAGAAAAACATAATTAATTATGATTTAAATGAAAATAATACAATCATTAATGATACAACTGAAAATTCTATAATGAAAAATGAAATAAATGAAAAAAATATGAACATTTCAAATAATTACAACAAATTAATAGAAAAAAAAAATTTCAGTTATTATAATTATCAGAGAAATAATAAGGATGATGAGATATATGTAGACATAAAAGATGAAAATATAAAAGGTGAATATATTAAAGATGGTGGCATGAAAAATAAAAATTTGGATATAAATCCTAATATTTTAGATAAAAAAGAATTAAATTATTTTACAGAAGGAGAAAAATTTAATAGAGATAATGGAAATGATGTAAATAATATAATAAATAGTGTAAATGTTGATTGTTTTAATTTTATAATAAAATCTCATATATCTAATAAAGATAATTTAATTAATTGTGTATCTAATAAAGATTCAGTGGATAATTGTATAAATAATATTAATGATGACAAGAAAGATCTTCAAATTATTCATTATAATGAAGAAGAAAAAAGGAAAATAAATGAAAATATATATTCGGATAATATATATCATGAGAGCATCAATAAGTTTATAAAAAATACAGATACAAAAAAATTTGAGAATTACATACACAAAAATAAAAATATAGAAAAAAAAGAAGTAAAGAAAAAAGTGCATATTTATAAAAATAATAAATACAAGAAAATACTAAATAATGTAAATTTATTGAAAAAATTCAGTGATAATTTTACTTATAAATTCATAGAAGTAGGTATCTTTTGTAAATCATTTAATAGTTTTTACCAGTGCGATGAAATAATGAATCGATATCATTTAAATATTTTTAATATAGTTCATAACATCAACACAAATACATTTTTCAATTTTAATTATCCTAATAATGGGGATAATATTCCAATGAAATCATATTATGAATATATTTGCTTAACATTACATGTAACTTCAAAATAATTTTTAGATAATTATATAAATGATTAATTCATAGATAATTTATTTAAACAAAGAAAAAATATCCATAATTTCTATCATTTTTATCATTATATTTTTATATTAATATATATATATATATATATATATATATATATATATATATATATATATATATACTATTTTATATATTTGTGTAAATTTTAGATTCTAAAATTAAATTTTTTATTTTTTATTTTTACAGGATTTGAATGTAAACAACTTAAAAAATATAGCTGAAAGTGTAAATTTCAGAAAATTAATCTATAAATATTTAATTTTAGATTTATTAAAAAATGTAAATATTGATTTATCGGATTTATCATTATCTAACGGGAGTAAAAAGAAAAAATTTATGACAAATATAAATAACGATTTAAGAACTATGTTTAACCAAGATAAATTAGATAAAAATATTGATTTATTAAAAAATGTAGAAAAATACCACTTAGATGCAATAAACAATATTTATAAATTAGAATCTATGCAACTATATATGGATATTTTTGTAATATGTATAATAAAAAATACCATTTCAAGTAAATTATCATTTAATGAACGAATTATGTTAATGGGATCACTTTTATTATTTTATTTCAAAAATAATTAAAAAAAAAAAAAAAAAAAAAAAAAA